TACACTGTAGTTCCCCCACTCTCATATCCTATCATTTAAAGCTTTTATCTTTACAGATTTTTCAATTCGACACATACAATTCGATCAAAAGATTATGATCTTAAATCAATTCTTGAAAAAAATCAGATTCTTTTATCTTGTTAATTAAAACTGAAAACTCAAATTATATGACCGCACACATTGCAGTATGCTTAAACTTTTTGGTTTACTCAGTTTTGTGGTTATAAAATCAAATGTCTGCCGAATTGGATTGATAATTTAAGTAAGTTAGTCAAAAAAACAAAAGCCTTAATTTGGTCTTAAAGCACTTAATATGAATTTACTTCAACATACTTGATTTCTAAGTATAGTGCATATGCACTGCAGAGTATACATTTTCCTTGTATAAAATTATGGGTTTTAGTTAGTTGTGACCCAACTATATCAAAATGAAACCTGACACCGCCAGATGGATATGCGGAGCAAATCCATCTGGAAACCTTCCGTTGAAGAAATTTTGGGAAGGGGCGAAAATACTGGTTAGCTGATTGGCCTATGTTGGTGATAGATCAACAAAGCATATGACATACTAACAGAGCGACGACGAAAACACAACCACAAGCCAGGCTACTCTTGCCCAAACCAGTCGGGAGAAGAGCAAAAACATCTTTTCCTCTGAGGAAAGCCTCCAGAGCAGTGTTTTTTCTCTTCTTTCAGTGAAGAAATACTCTGTAATTCCGATAAAACTTGCTCAATAGCCACGCTAACGCTAGTTTCATCGGCTGAAGCCGCCATGTTCTTTAGACTGAACCGTCACGCTTCTCGTTGCGTCACACCTCAACCCGCCTCAAAGCCAACGCTGATTGGACGGTCGTTTGGTGAACGGCTCCAAATTTTCTTTAACGGAGAGTCTCCAGACTGATCTGCGAGTGCAAGCTTGCGAGATCAGGATCATCTCATGAGGCTAATCAAAATGACCTTCAACAGGAATTTGTTTTTTTTTAATTTTTTAGATGTAGGAGCTTATTTTATGTGTTTTGCTTTCATCAAGGCACCGTGATTCAATTAAAATTGGATTTTTCCAGAAAAACAAAAACAAACCTGATCTAATATAATGATCAAAAATGCAAATTAAAAATAAAAAACCCTCACCTTCTTCTTGTAGATGAACTCAATGATGCTTTCTGGGCTGATGCCCACCACATTCTGCCTACAAAGCATGACTGCAGAAACAAAACTATCTCTCTTGGACACAAAGCGCTGCTCTAGATAGAAGGCCTTCTCATCCCAGCCTAACACTTTGGTACGAATCTGGAAAGCCTCTCTGAAGGCCAAAGAGCGTCTGTAACGAATGGTGGAGGCCCCTACTACCAATCTGACCCCCAGTTTGCGTGAGGCCATGAACAGCCCGTTTCTCATGTAGTGGTGGAAGCGGGCAAAGTCACACTCCCTCAGATAGCGAGAGTTGTTCATGTGGCCGAGGTAGTCTAAATCATTGGGAAGAACCATGCCGTCAATGCTTTGTTCAGCTAGTATGTCTTCTATTCTGGGCAGGAACCATGCTTCTACAAAGACCTGGGCCCCCCGCAGGAAGTACCACACGTCCAGGTTGCAGAAGAGCAGGAGGAGGGCACTCAGCACCAGCAGCAACATCTCTCTGCAACACAAATACACACATAGATCAAAAGAATTAAAAATGATGCGACAGATTTTAATGCATTCAATTGTTATTACATAATGTCTTGTATAAACCGGGTTGCTTTAAAAGATTTTCAGTAATATGCAGCTTTAGATTCTAGAGGCATTAACACAATTTGTTATTTAACATAATAAATCCATATACACAGGTAATTGGTATCTCAGCTTTCTAGAGCTAAAACACTTGGGTCCTATAGCTCCAAAGCCACGCACTGCAACCCTGACACGAGTGGGAAGTGAGCGGAGCTCCTTTCCAATAAACCTGCTGTGGAAGACAAATCTTTTAGCTTAGCTGTTAGCAGTCAGAGGATGCTGGCCTAAGCAGACACAAGCACCGCAGTCTGACGTGAAAGTCCCCCCTTTCCAGCAAACCGTCCCATAGCAAAGGCGACGTCCAAACATGTAACAGAAGCATATTTCCACGAACGTAAAACTCACCGTCCGTCCCACAGAAGGCGCTACCATAGGACGGAATACAACTTCAAGAAGCCGGTAGGTTCAATGGACATGACTTCCGGGTGTGTGACGTAACAGAGCTTCATTGGATAATTTGTTGACATGGTTGCAGGGTCGTTTTGCATATTGACGCTATTTGGTTTCTCAGCTTTTTTCCCCGTTTTATTATTATTATTTTTTTTTACTTGCGTTGTACGGAAGAGGATTAGGGCCATTGGAAAAAAAAAGCTAACTGATTAAAAAAAATTGTTTCAGTTTAATATGGGAAAAAAATCATAATTCTGACTTTTTTCTCAGAATTCTGACTTTAATCTCAGAATTCTGAATTTAATCTCAGAATTCTGAATTCTTTTCTCAGAATTCTGACTTTAATCTCTGAATTCAGACTTTCTTTCTCAGAATTTTGACTTTAATCTCAGAATTTGAACTTTTTTCTCAGAATTCTGACTTTGATCTCATAATTTTGACTTTAACCCATAAAATTCTGACTTTTTCCTAAGAATTCTGAATTTAATCTCAGAGAAAAAAGTCAGAGTTCTGACTTTAATCTCATAATTCTGACTTTAACCTGAAGAATTCTGGCTTTAACCTGAAGAATTCTGAATTTAATCTCAGAGAAAAAAGTCAGAGTTCTGACTTTAATCTCATAATTCTGACTTTAATCTGAAAAATTCTGACTTTTTTCTAAGAATTCTGAATTAAATCTCAGAGAAAAAAGTCACAGTTCTGACTTTAATCTCACAATTCTGAATTTAATCTCAGAGGAAAAAAGTCTGGAGAAAAAAAGTCAAAATTCTGACTTTTTTCTCATATTATACTGAAATAAAATTTAAAAATCAGTTAAGTTTTTTTTTTCTACCAGCCCTAATCCTCTTCCACTGTGTTGTCATGAAATATAGTAAAGGTACTGTATAAACAGCTATTCTGTAAAACATTCATGGGATATTTACATTACTTAACTGTCTTGTCAGAGATAGTATAAAGGATTTTTTATAATCAGGTGTAACATTTTTACTAAGTGTATGCATTAACTTTTTCTAGAGTGTTAAAGTAGTTCTGAACAGTTTTTTTTTACATCTACTCCATTCAACATATGTTAATTAATCTTTACTAGAGTAGAATTAATACTTCTAGACCAATAGTTCATAATACAAACATAATATCATTTATAGTCAAAGAAACACATTATGCTTACATAAATATGAATGAAAAAAAAAAAAATAATTCTCCATATAGCAAAAGATGGTGGTGGATTTCAGAAGGGACAAGGATTGTCTTCGTCCCCTGTACCTCAGAGGTGCAGCTGTGGAGGTGGTCTCCAGCTACAGGTAGCTGGGTGTGCATTCATCCAGTAATCTCACCTGGGGGGTCCATCAGCATCTCTACTTCCTCAGTAATCTGCATAGAGCTGGAGGAGCTCAGTCCTGAGGAGAATTTTTTTTTTTGGCTGTGATGGACTGAGGACTGTAGGGAGCAGACTTGACTCGAAACTTGGGCCTCTACACATGGGGAGGGTCCTCATCATGAAGGACGCCACCCATCCTGCAGACTCTTCCTGCTTCTTCTCTCAGATGAGGAGCATCCAGAGCAACACCACTAGGCTCTCAAACAAGTTTTCCTGCAGCTGTTAACCGAGTGCTCAATTCAAACAGCAATTAATCCAGATTAATCTACTTCTTTCTTTTCTTAAATATTAATACAAGTCCACACTTTGCTTCCAAAAACTGTAAAAATGAGCTGGTATGACAATAAAAACATAACTAAATCCTTAAATGTTAGGTAAGAGCAGACATCTTTTCCAGGGTTGACTTTGAGTCTGAACGTCTAAATTACATAAAACAAGGAAATGACCCATACTCTGTGCACATAATAGATCTATTAGAAAGGTATGGCGTTATCACAAGGCCAAGCTGTCATCATATATACCTACTGACAGAAGAACTATTGTATTGGAACATAAAACTTTATGGTGAACCTGATATGAAAATTCATTATCAGCCATTTAATGAGTAAACTAGAACAGAGCAGAGGCTCCCTATAAATGCAATATTCAGCTCTAAAAGGAAAACTAAAGTTGGTAAATAAGCTAAAAGGATCAAACTAAAAACCAACTTGACAAGCTATTGGGTCTATAACAGGGGTCTTCAACGTTTTCCAGGCTAAGGACCCCCAAACTGATGGCAAGATGGAGCAGGGACCCTCTAATTATATATATATATATGGTATGAAATTGTGTTATATCAAACTGGTCCTATAGTCACTATTACATATGGAGTACGGTAATGTAAGGAAAGTAATTTGGCCCTGGGATTATTAAAGTATTTCTGATTCTGATTCCTGGTTGATGGGACAGGTGTTGAAACGGTGCGCTGCTTGAAAGAGCTCCTGCGTGTCTCTGAATGTGAGCATTAATGACTGAAATACATCTTCTGCCTCCAATTATGTGTTTACTACAGTGTGTTGAATTCCTGTTAATGTGTATTTAAAGACATTTCAAGTAGTGGAAAAAATTGTAGGGGGGAATATAAAAAAAATAACTTTCGGGACCCCCCATGCAGTACAACCATGAACTCACTAGGGGTCGCAGACCCCCATATTGAAGACCTCCAGTCTAGAAGAAAATATCTGTTAACATTTTATGTCATCCACATTCTGTTGTATTAACAGCTTTAAGCTCCATGCTTCAAATCTATTACTGAAAGTCTGTCTAATTTACTATCTAATAGCTATTAAATCATCTTTCACTCTCTGTTTTTTATATAAAAGCAAAAAGATATATTTATTTCCCAAACTGTTAGATGTTAAAACCTAAGTAGTCATTTTCAGTGCTAACATTTTCATAGAAGCTTTAAAAGAAAGAAGCTGGCACCTGCAACCATGGCTGTTTTATTGCAGCTGCTAGCAGACAGAACACATCATACGGTTATATTTACAGTTACAAAAGTTATGATGTACCACCGTTTCTTAATGCAATGTGCACCATTAATCCTGCTTCACATCTTTAAATACTGAGCTCAAAGTACCCTGAATGCAAAGAAGAGGCACATCAGTGAAGAGGGGATATATCTGTACAGATGGGCAAGAGTCTCTCTGAGGAGATTAAGGATGGTGTGCTGATAAACTGGCTGCTTTTCTTCAACATGGAGAGAAGATCCTCTCATCCAACTTTATTTGCTCTTGTCATCAAGACCACTTTCAGCTCTCAAGGCCTGGCTGCTGGCAGAAATAAAGTTAACCCAATGCTGCAGGTCCTCTGGGAACTCAGGGGGCTCCACCTGGAAGCAGGAAAACACAGGATTATTGTCATTTACTGTCACAGGGTAAAAGACTCATCCCTTCAGCTTTTAGCTACTATCTTACCTTTCTTTTACACAGGTGCTGCAAGATCTTGTCTGGACTGCTGCGTATCACACTTTGCTTGCAGTACATCACGGCACACACCAGCTTGTCTTTTCTGGACACGAACCTTTGCTCCAGGTAAAAAGCTTTGTCATCCCAAGTGACGATCCGACTGCACAGATCATAACCCTCTCCTATACACAGAGCCCTGCGGTAGCGAATGGTGGTGGCCCCTACTACCATGTTGGCTCTCAGGGCCCGCACCGCTTTGAACACACCGTTGCGCGTGTAGAGAGAAAAGCGGGCAAAGTCGCACTCCCGGAGGTACCGAGCATTGTTCATGTGGCACATGTCAATGTCGCGTGGAGTGACGAGTCCCGTCACGACCTGCTCTCCTGTGACGTCCCATACTGGAGGTTGAAACCAGGCCTTCAAGATCACGGCTCCAGCTCGCAGGAAGTACCACACATCCAGAGAGCAGAAGAGAACCACTAAGGCAGCCAGGACCCACGCTACCCACCACATTTCTGGAAAGTCAGGACAGGCAGAGACAAACAATGAGTGCGATGCTGTTTATTTCTAAATTAGAAGTACAGATCAGAATAGACGTGTATATTATTTTCATAAATCCTAGTATCTGGTTTTAATTTGTCCAAAAGTCTGAAGAAAAAGGCCCCCCATGTTCACGTGTTTTTTTTTTGTGTGCAGTGTACAGCTACACTATATTGCCAAAAGTATTTGCTCACCCATCCAAATTATTGGAATCAGGTGTTCCAATCACTTCCATGGCCACAGGTGTATAAATTCAAGCACCTAGGCATGCAGACTGTTTTTACAAACATTTGTGAAAGAATGGGTCGCTCTCAGGAGCTCAGTGAATTCCAGCGTGGAACTGTGATAGGATGCCACCTGTGCAACAAATCCAGTCGTGAAATTTCCTCGCTCCTAAATATTCCACAGTCAACTGTCAGCTGTATTATAAGAAAATGGAAGTGTTTGGGAACGACAGCAACTCAGCCACGAAGTGGTAGGCCACGTAAACTGACGGAGCGGGGTCAGCGGATGCTGACGCGCATAGTGCGAAGAGGTCGCCAACTTTCTGCAGAGTCAATCACTACAGACCTCCAAACTTCATGTGGCCTTCAGATTAGCTCAAGAACAGTGCGCAGAGAGCTTCATGGAATGGGTTTCCATGGTCGAGCAGCTGCATCCAAGCCATACATCACCAAGTGCAATGCAAAGCGTCGGATGCGGTGGTGTAAAGCACGCCGCCACTGGACTCTAGAGCAGTGGAGACGCGTTCTCTGGAGTGACGAATCGCGCTTCTCCATCTGGCAATCTGATGGACGGGTCTGGGTTTGGCGGTTGCCAGGAGAACGGTACTTGTCTGACTGCATTGTGCCAAGTGTAAAGTTTGGTGGAGGGGGGATTATGGTGTGGGGTTGTTTTTCAGGAGCTGGGCTTGGCCCCTTAGTTCCAGTGAAAGGAACTCTGAATGCTTCAGCATACCAAGACATTTTGGACAATTCCATGCTCCCAACTTTGTGGGAACAGTTTGGAGCTGGCCCCTTCCTCTTCCAACATGACTGTGCACCAGTGCACAAAGCAAGGTCCATAAAGACATGGATGACAGAGTCTGGTGTGGATGAACTTGACTGGCCTGCACAGAGTCCTGACCTCAACCCGATAGAACACCTTTGGGATGAATTAGAGCGGAGACTGAGAGCCAGGCCTTCTCGTCCAACATCAGTGTGCGACCTCACAAATGCGCTTCTGGAAGAATGGTCAAAAATTCCCATAAACACACTCCTAAACCTTGTGGACAGCCTTCCCAGAAGAGTTGAAGCTGTTCTAGCTGCAAAGGGTGGACCGACGTCATATTGAACCCTATGGATTAGGAACGGGATGTCACTTAAGCTCATATGTGAGTCAAGGCAGGTGAGCAAATACTTTTGGCAATATAGTGTATATTTTACCAGAGTTCATTTGTAGATCCACGTTTTTATGCCTTAAGAGCTGCATGTTTTTGCATGGATGTCTTTCACTTCTGTTTATCTTGAAACAGAGCTTTTTATATATATATATATATATATATATATATATATATATATATATATATATTTTATTAGTCTTCTTTGTTTCTAAAGTTTCTAAAACTTTAAGCAGAAGAGTCCTTATAAACATGTGTCACCAATTCTCAGTTGTATTCATCTTTACTGGACTTTTTACATGAACAACCTTTCACCAGCCAGCACACATAAACCTCAGACCTCATTATCTAGTTTCCTGCTACTTTTAAATGGGTATCTGCTTCAAATAGATAAACTAAGATGTCTGTCATGTGGTATGTTTTGTATTCAGGGGGTCAATCAGTATTTTTAGCTCAGGTTTGTTGGACCAGGGGATTCATATAAGACCTTTGTGGATGATGATGATGATGATGATGATAAATAAAGAATATCCCAAGTTTTGAACATCTCTGCAACTTTAATACTGACCAATATGCACTGGTTTGTTCCATAATGTTCTCAAACAAACCTCTACGGCCTTCATAGAACAGCTGCTTTTCGACTTGGATTAAATTCTATACAGATTAAATGAATTATCAATTAGAGCTGATCACTATACGGAAATTATGGTAATTTTGTTCATTGTAAATACTTGGACAGCAATAAATATTAGATCATCATATAAGTAGAAAGAAAGCAGTCACAGTTTTTATAAATGTTTTTTTATCTAGTGGTCCATAATTAGTAAGTAGCCAACCAATACAATGTATGCAAAAGTGTTTTACTGCCAAAATACTTGTTTCTTTAGCAGACAGTATTTTGTGAAGCTTCTTTTTTTTAACCAGTGGAAATTGCAATTAAAAACAATTATTTTGGCCCTCCAGGTGAGCTGGTCATGTGTCTCTGCTCCTTTCTGATTCTCTGCTTCTGTCTCCTTGAACTCCAGTCGCCTCAGCAGATGGCCGCTCACACTGAGCCTGGTTCTGCTCGAGGTTTCTTCCTGTTAAAAGGGAGTTTTTCCTCTCCACTGTCGCTACAAGCATGCTTAGTGTGAGGGATTGCATCCGAGTCAATAAAATCAACTGGTTTTCCTTAGATAGAAAACTTTGAATCAATTTGACTGTATGATCTGGTTAAATTGTAAAGTGCCTCGAGATGACTGGGGTTGTGAATGGACACCATATAAATAAACTGAATTGACAAACCCTTATTAAAGTCACTCCAACCTTCCTGTATCAGAGAAATCCTAGCTTTCTTGCTCATACTTGGACAGTTTGCATTTTTCATATTTGTCTGTGAAAATCAGTAATTCTGACTCCACCAAACAAGCACTGGTTGCTTTTAATAAGGTGCTCATACTTGAACAACTCTATATTAATCCAGTTTAATTTTAAACACTTATGAAAAATGTGTCACACGAATAGTTCTATAAGCTGCATAAGTACATTTGTTTGAAACTCGGGAGCCTTTAAAATCAGTGACTTTAAATTATATATAATCTTATTCTTTCTTTGATCTAACTGGAATTCTTGGATTTTTATTTTATCCCGGTAGAAAGCTGCAACAAAGCCCAAACTTTCCACAAAATAAGAGTCTGAGAACAGGTTCTGCCAGTAAAGCAGGCTTTCCCTGCATTAGCCGTTTGTCTTAACGGCACGAAGTTTTAGCGAATTTGAGATTTTCAGTGATAGAATTATTTTTCCAAAGCTGGTAAAAGCAGTTATGAATCAGGGCCGCGAACCAAAAACACCCACATATTGTCAATCTTAGTTTGATTAGCAGTCAGAAATAAAATTCCCCCAAATGAAAATAACCATGTTATTGTCATGCTAACACCATAGTAGCACATTAAAATTATGAAGGATTGGTTTGTAGGGAAGACAGTGCGAAACTACTTAATATTCACATATGTGTGTAAAGTTCAATCTTACCTGTCGGGTGTCAGTTACTGTCAAGGAGCTGGAAACTGCGGCGTCTGCACAGTACAACTTAACTTGTAAAGAACTTCCGCTAATACCTTTCAGAATAAAACCATAACAGCAAGTAACTTCTTACAAAACACAGAAATTAGCATAGGAAAAGTACCTTTCAATTACTGTTCTTATCAAGGCTAACGCCAGAGGCTGTGAGGAGGTAGGGGTAAAATGTATATATATTGCGCTGACATATACTTTTAAACTAACATTTACTTTGACAGACTGAGATGGACTCACTTCCTGTAACCGAAAATACATACAGGCGAAAGGAGAGATCTGTTTGGTTCGTTGGTTAAACCTCAGCGATACCTTTAGGCCAATAGCATTATTCAATGTCTTCATTACTTAAATTGTCAAGATTATAATTTTTTTAAATGCAATTTCTTTAATGATGCTTAAACATTATCCCAAGAATAACTGCTTGAAAAGCAATACAATGTGGATTTTTTTTAAATGTACAGCAAAACAAAATACTTTCACAACAGTATTTTACAAAATTCATATTGCAAGCACAATTAATAGAACATTGTAATAAATGATAAATTACTTTCTCTAGGTTGCTATTCAGTCCAAGTTTAATGTAAGCTTCAAAGGGTTCAGCATAGTAGTCAGATCTTTCAGATTTTTTATGTGATTTAACTTCTTCAATAACAAAAACTTAATGATGTGGAATTAACTATTTTGACTGCTGCACTTTAAATGTGCCAGGGAGTGTTATCACATATCCTTCCTCCCAGCAGCTGTAAGACTTTATAACGACAACTGTTCCCAACAACCTGAATAAGTTGTTAGTTTCATGCTAATTTTGCAGTTTCTACCTTAGCCAATTAATTAATATAATTATCACGTTTATACAATATACTATCATGTTTATACAATATACTATCACGTTTATACAATATAATTATCATGTTTATACAATATACTATCACGTTTATACAATATAATGAGCAAAAATTAATTTTTTCAAGTGACAGCAATACGCTTCCGTACATCTCTTAATGTTGCCATTTTCAAACATTACTGTGAAAATGTGCATAGCTGTATATTCGTTATTTAATCTCAAGGTGCACTGTTTTATAATGTTAAAAGACCTAACCGTACAAAATTCTATTTATTTTTCAACTCTTCAATATTATGTTATTACATTTTTAAAGGTCTAAATTGCGTGACCATCTTTTCTATAATCGTTTTGCCTCTGTAAACACCAGAATTTCCCTATTGTGGGACAAAAAAGGTTTTCTATTCTATTCTATACATGCACAAAGTGAATTCAGTGTTAATATGCTTTTTAAAATTTTTAATAAACTTCAAATTTATCCATCCATTCATCCACTTTCCTTCACGCTTATCCTAAGTGGGATTGCTAGAGTTGCTTGTGCCTATCTCCAGGGCAACACAGAGACAAACAGGGTAGCCATTCACACACACACCTAAGGAGAATTTAGAGAAGCCAATTAACCTAACACTCATGTTTTTGGACTGTGGACGGATGCTGGAGTACCTGGAGAGAACCCAGGCATGCTCAGGGAAAAAATCATCATGCAGACAGACCCCAGGCCGGGAATCGAACTTCCTCGTTCATCTGTTACCTTTTAAATATTTCCAATTATATTTCTAAAAATATCATTGCTTTTATACATTATGCCATTTAAAAAACAGATTTTTTTAGTCCTCCAAAACCCTCACAGCCCAGGGTGCAGACCGAGAAGCATAGTTGTAGTTTGACACACACCTCTACAGCTTCTCTACTGTTACCATCTTTTTAGAAAATAAATAATTTTAAAGGAGTAAACCATGATAATTTATATAAATAAAAATCACTGCAATTGGATTAAAAGTAAAAAAAAAAAAATTAATCTTCGTCATGCTCCAGGGTTAGCTGTGGATTACCACAGGGATCATTGCTAGGACCATTCTCATATATGCTCTCAATTGGTAGAACTACTAGACTGCATGGGATTCATTTCCATTATTAATGCTGATGATAATCTGCTATATGTTTATTAATCCAGATGAAACTAACCCATTACATAAGCTCTAGGCATGTTTTGAATACATCCAAACCTCGATGACCGTCAACTTTCTGCATCTGAATTCAGGCAAAACAGATTCCTTTTCTGTGGACCAGACCTCAGCAGATGGGCAATCACGCTGAGCCTGGTTCTGCTGGAGCTTTATTCTGTTAAAATTGAGTTTTCTCCCCCGTTACTAGATGCCTGCTTGGTGTGAGGGATTGCTGTCGAGTCAAAGCGATTAGCTGGTTTCCATTATATAGAACACTACTCCAATCCGACTGTATGATCTGGTTGAATTGTGTTTTTTGGAAATTGGTTTTCCACTTAGAATACTAGATGAGATTTGCCTGTTTAGTGAACAGCATGCAGTCTTGGGCTCTTAACGTTCCGCTGTTCACTTAAAATGATAATAGTGTTAGACAGCACAGTTAGACAGTTGCCTGCAATCCTTGGCATGACAGCACGTATAAGCACATCTCAGAGTTCAATAAAAATACATCTGCTAACTGAAACGTCTGTGACATGTAAATGTCTTACCTTCATACATTTTGGGTTTTAAATCTGAAAGCTTCACTACATTTATGCAACTTTTTATCTACTTTCCTCCAGGAAGGTTTAATCCAAGTTTGACCATTGCTATTAACATGTATGCATTGCGTAATAACATTCATAAGGCTGAGGGCTGTCTGGATTAGCCACAGCAGTCCAGTGCTCCTATTCAACCCTGGATCGTGTTCGTACTGTTGACCCTGTGAAAGGTGAAGGGATAGGAGCTAGGAACAGGAGGAAGGAGGTCTAATTGGAAGTAATCCGATCGAGCCCTTTGCTCAATCCGAATACCTCAAATCGGCGAGGACACTAAAGCCACGGGGGAGGGTATTTGGATTGGACATTGACTTTAACTGAGGAAGTAATTAAGCTATTTGATTTGCCCTCTTGGACTAGTGAGATTTATAAAAGCTGCAAGTTACTGACCCTCAAATTCCGTTTGACATCCCAGTGGAAGGACAAAAAAAGCATCATACGTTAGTCACCACTTTTTCTTTATTATGAACACCAATAACAAATTTTATTTTCTACTTCTGCCCTCCAAAAGGCCTTAAGCAATATAACACTTGGGGGAAAAAATGTATACGTACACATCTATATTGTATATAGATGTAAATGTATAAGAACATCATGACTAAAAGGAAGTAAAACCAGAACCTGAAAGAAAAGTTAAATCTCTATCAATAGATCGATGTTTGCTCATTGAAGACAGCTCACACCAAATTTTAATTACAAACAGGCACAAACCAACAAACAATATTAGTATGATTAGTTAAGAAACAAATCAACAAAGCTGCGAACAATGTTAAACAGACATTAATAAAAAGCATGCATGCATCTTAAGGTATTATTCAACCAATTAAATCTTCAATGTTCCTTTGAATTCAGGAAATGAAGAATGTTGATAAGCAGATTCACTGAATTTGCTTGGATCTGTAATCAATCACCATCTTCTTCATGTTCCGGTCTGATATTAGGTCACTCATTTCAAGGTCGTTTTCGGGGCCAGCCAGTGGATCATATTTGTGTCTGACAGAGAGGGTTAGAACTATTATTAAGGTCAAGTTGTTAACTGTTGGATTCGTAAGCTCAACAGATGCTGCGACTTACTGTTTGAGGTGTTCTTCAATGGCTTTGCGCTCATACACAGTGCCATAAACGGTTTTCACAGGGTCGACAAACATCTTCTTGGTCAGAGGACAGAGCAGGTGTTGAGGTACAAACTGTGGCACTGGATCCATTAGTTTCTTTAGGAAAAAAACAGGAATAAACACCACAAATATTATCAAAAATATCCTTACACTATTTCACAACCAACTCTGGAAACAGTCCTGCAAATCCACCTTCTCCATATCATCAAGAGACTTCCCAGCGTGTTCCTCGGTGTGCTTCTTGGCTTCTTGTTCATAAATCTCACGGCTCGTCAGAAATTCTTCAGCCAAAATGCTTCAAGAGAATTTAAATATAAAGTAAATTTAGGTATTTTATGAATATACTGTAGAACATACAGCTCTGTGAAAACTAGAAAAAGCTCTAGTAAAATGCAAATCATCATGTAGAGATCTAAGAAAACCAAGTAACAATAAGTAGTTTTTGGTATCATATGGTGCAGTGGGGAGAAAAACAAGTTGGTTGTAAAGCTTAGGGATGCCAGCAAAACACTGAGAACCAGGAGCCGCGCATGAAGAAAATATGGAACAGATTTCTGACTAGAATTACCCAAATCACTACCCACTTATAAAGTTATAAAAGACAAACTAAAGCACTGCAGGCCTCACTTTTCTTAGTTAGGTGAGAGTTTGATTTAAAAAGAAATAGATTGTCGAAAAGAAAAAGGTGCACCCACTGGAAAGTACGAATACCAATTTTGACCAAAAACAAAATAAAGCAGATAACAGAAAGTTGTAGAAGTAGGAAACAAATAGCTGTAACCTTCTTGAGTCACTTGTATTTATTTTTTTTTATTCCACATCCTCTGTAACCTCTCCGCCACACTCCCTTTTGCTCATGTACGCCAAACTGAGCAACTGCGTAGTTTTGTTAATAACTTGGAGCCGTTCAACATTCCTCCTCCGAACATCACCATGTACGTTGTCCGTCCTTCACCATCAAAATACAGAGATAGTCGATGTGTCCTGTTCCGGTCCGTTGGAATCTGGCCAGGTTAAGCTCCACAAATGCAGTCGTATTAAAAAGATAATTAAGAACAGTCATTCTGTCAAAGTAAAGTAGGGTAAAGATAACTTTCAAGAGCCAATCTCACAACTTCAACTTCCTATCGCAGACCGGGACGAAGAGACGCTAATTTTGGAGCTAAAGAACAAACCTATTTGTACGATCTTAGGCACCCTTTTTACAAAAATGCACAACGAGAGGAAAAGGTTTGGGCAGAAAGTTTCCATGTGCTGGATGCTGCGGGCAGGTTTTAATGATGTCATATTAAATGAAGCATTCTTTATTTTGCTCCTATGTATTACTTATGTGCAATCCTTCCATTAAAGATGCGCAAGGCTCTGTTCAGTAGCGCTCGTTTTAAAAGTGACTATTCAATCCGACACACTTTTCTCCTCTTGTTCAAGATGCTTTATTATCCAAAAACAAACGTATAATTTCTTGCAGTATGACGTGATGGGCAGATCATATCGGCTCATTACTTTCTTTTGCGAAGGCAAGAAACAGCGTCAATTATTATATAATTTTCAGAATTAAGTCAACTCATACTTCAAACCAAAACATTTCACATATACCAATCTGAGAAAAAAATAGTAAACTAGAAAGGATAAAATATTCAAACGTAAATCAAGCATTTGGCTCCAACAGTTTTAAATAATATAATATCACATGCTCTTCTCAAGCTCAAAAGGAACTCGGAGCAAGACTGGAGGAACTGCAGAACCTGTGGGGGTTGCTTTGCAGAACGGAGCAGAGCATAGAAGTTATGGAGGCTGTGGAATTCTGGGGTAATGCCGAGTCACCTCATACTAAGGCTCATGAAATCTCGCATCCATCAAATACATCACTAGCTCTACTTGTAAAGTATACCTCAAGCTTGTTTCTGTCCATCTGTGGAAGAGGACATTAATGCTATATTTCCATCTCATTAAATAGGACTAGAGCCTGTTACAATCACTCCTGTAAACTCATATCAAACGTTGTGTTAACAGAACCATTACTCATATCCGTTTTACCATATAGTCTAAATTCACTGTCTAAAGAACACGATTAAGTTCAGTTTTTATTATATGGACTTATAATAAATTTTCAGTATGTGAATGAATGAGTCTGTGAAACTAAATCCTTCCATCTGTTTTTCTCACCTATCGAGAGGATCATCAGGTTCAGGGACGATGAGCAGTCCATACACGGCATTGGAAATCTCCTTCATGGTGACGTGTGCATTGTAGTTGCGATCTAATAGGTTGTGGCAGATCCGACCCACACTATTGACATTGCAGTGATACACCTACACATCGTGTTAAGAAATTCCAGCTACAAAATATTAAAGTACATTTATGTTTATAAATCCTTAATTTAAAACATTTTATGATGCCATGAGGAGCATCGGATTTTCCACTCTGTGTTTTAGCAGGATACAGGAGTGACAAAACGCAGGACTGGGGGCTTCACTGGGTAGTTGGGTCCAAATTGACAGTACAACTCAAACACGCCGGTATCATATGGTGTGTCTGGAGGGCCCTGCATGAGAATCCTCCAGAATGCTGAAAAAACAAAACAAAAACAAAAAACACTGAACCGTTAAAAAAAATAAAAAAAATATATCTTTCTTATATCCATAAAGATCTCATTTCATGTATGCATGATTGAAGAGCCATTAAAACTAGATTTGTTGTTCGATTTCAGAAAAATAAAACCATTGGTCCTCTTTAAAATTAGAAAGGTTTAAAACAATTTACAACCTTTAAAAAGAAAGGAGGAACATTTAAAAAAAAGTGATATGACTAACTGAAATCCGTCTCTGAGGGAAAGACTCTGAAGAAGGGATGTGGGTCACAATGGAGACTTTTGAGCTCCTCCAGGATCCGTTTTTCCTTCTCCATGAACCGACCATCCTTTGACTCTGAAATCTTCTTTTTGAGGGCACTGGTTAAAAAAGAAAAGGTTTAAATGTCGTATTTATTTATCAACAGTTTTAAAGTGATGCTGTCTCCTACCTTTCAGTGAGAGTCACTCTGCTTTTCATCTGACTTGGCAAGAAAGTCTCTGGGTATTCATCATATCCATGAGTAGCAAATAGGCCCACTAATTTGGACTATACATCAGAAAAATATACACATCATGAAACCACAGTGATTTATTCATCAAAACTAAATCTGAGATAATGTCAGACCTCAGAGATGGAAGATGCATCAAGCTTTTCTTTAGGTTTCCTTTGCTCCAAAGACAGAACTGTCTCGATTTCAAATAGTTTCAGGCCTTCTTTGGTTGTCTGTGGCTTGAAGCAACAACCACCTGGAAAATGAAAATTAGCTTAAATGATCAAACATTAAATAATATTGATTGTGGGAAAACAAAATCCAAAAGTATTTTATTTATTTAATTATTATCAAAACAAGTGAAACAATTTCTTCTGTTTTTGTATAATCTTTGATCAAGTTAGATTAACCGTTGCACAAAATTAACCAGAATAAACATTAGTTTTTTAAATAATGATTCCATTTATACTAAACAGCCATCCAGACAAACCTGGACCTCTGAGAAAAGGAGACTGCCAAGTTAGTGTGCAATGAATAGAAATTTTGGGTTTTCATGAGCTGTATGCCAAAATCATCCGTATTAAGACTATAAAAGTCCTGAAATATTTCAGTTGGTGTGCAATGAATCTAAAATATATGAATGTTCAAGTTTTATCATTATATTATGGAAAATAATGAACTTTATCACAATATGCTAATATTTTGAGAAGGACCTGTACAGTGAGGAAAATAAGTATTTGAACACCCTGCTATTATGCAAGTTCTCACAATTAAAAATCATGGAGCAGTCTGAAATTGTCATCATATGTGCATGTCCCCTATGAAAGACACAAATAAAACATCTAGAAATCACAATGTATGATTTTTTTTTTTTTACTATTTATTTATAAGATACAGCTGCAAATAAGTATTTAAACACCTGTCTATCAGCTAGAATTCTGACTCTCCAAGACCTGTTAGTCTGCCTTCAAAATGTCCACCTCCACTGCATTTATTATCCTAAATTAGATTCACCTGTTTGAGGTCGTTAGCTGCATAACGACACCTGTCCACCCCATACAATCAGTAAGAATCCAACTACTAACATGGCCAAGACCAAAGAGCTGACCAAAGACACCAGAGACAAAATTGTACACCCCCACAACGCTGGAAAGTGTCAACGGGGAAATTACCAAGCAGCTTGCTGTGAAAAAAGGCTCACTCTTGTAGTAATCATTAGAAAATGGAAGAATCTAAACACGACAGTCATTCTCCTTCAGACTGGGAGATTGACATTGAGACCCCATGAGATTCCTACCTCGTGGGGTCTCAATGATCCAAAGAAAGGTGAGAAATCAGCCAGTACTACACAGGAGGAGCTGGTCAATGACCTGAAAAGAGCTGGGACCACTGTTTCCAAGGCTACTGTTAGTAATGCACTATGCATTTTTCCATCAACCCACACAAAGGAACCCAAACAAATTGCACAGTGTCCAACTTGTGCTCGGTGACACACAAAGTTTTAGCCCAGAGCAAGAAGGGAAAAAAAAAACTTCAGGGGCAAAAATGCAACAGAACTCAAGGTACCACGGCTCCACCTGGATGAATATAGAAGATGTTTCTGCTGAAAAGTGGCGTGTACTTCCCAACTGTCAGAGGGGTGTTCTTGCCGGAAAACACTTAAGCTCTCTCGCATGTTGCTGGATGTAACTTATATAGGTGTTGGAGGAGTGGCGGTAAGTTTGCATGTTAACAATATTGAATTAAGTGTACTCAGACTGTCACAGTGTTTGGAGGAAGAAGAATGAGGAGTACCATCCCAAGAACACCATCCCTACCGTGAAGCATGGGGGTGGTAGCATCATGCTTTGGGGTGTTCTCGGCACATGGGATAAGGGACAAGGCAACTACACTGCATTAAGGAGAAGGTAACCTTAAGGTCTTCAAACATGACAATGACCCGAAGCACACAGCCAGGAAAACCAGGAGTGGCTCTGTTGGAAGCATATCAAGGCTCTGTTGTGGCCTATCCAGTCTCCAGACCTAAACCCAATGAAGAATCTTTGGAGGGAGCTCAAACTTCATGTTTCTCAGTGACAGCCCAGAAACCTGACTGATCTAGAGAAGATCTGTGAGGAGGAGTGGGCCAAAATCCCTCCTGCAGTGTGTGCAAACCTGGTGAAAAACTACAGGAAACGTTTGACTCTGTAATTGCAAACAAAGGCTACTGTACCTAATATTAACATTGATTTTCTCAGTTGTTAAAATTTGTAGCTGTATCATACAAATGGTTAAAAAAATCATTGTGATTTCTGGATATTTTTTTTTTTTTTTTAGATTATGTCTCACACAGTGGACATGCACCTACAATGACAATTTCAGACCTCTCCATGGTGGGGTCTAAGTGGGAGAACTTGCAAGATAGCAGGGTGTTCAAATGCCTCTTTTCCTCAATGTATGTTTGTAATGGTCAGGTGAAGGGTCTGGGTTAGGCCATTTAAAATAAATACAAGTCAATGAAATGTCACCATAAGTCATCCAAAACACATGCTTGTGTGTGTCCGCGAGAGAGCGTATTTATTTTGTGTACCCACAACAACACCCATAAATATGTACCAATTAGCTTTAACTGGGCCCTAATTTGTAAAATGTGTTTGAGTAGAAAATGAATTTGGTTTCATTTATACTACACCAGGTTATCATAATATATTAATTGTATAAAACCGAATTCAAATCAATGACTAAAATTAGATTAAAATGTCTTCAGTTTGTGTCAACTAAAGTAGAATAAACAGCCATGACTTATTCTGACTAAAATCAGACAAAAATGCAGAGTTATAGTCAACTAAGACTTGACTAACCAAGAGAATTTGAGAGTGACTAAAACAATAAAGTAAAACTATAGATTGACACAAAGACTACACTAAAACAAAAATAAAACAGGCAGCCAAAACTATACAATTCCTCAATTATGGAATTTGAGCACTTATTGGCCATTATCACATACTCTAATTATCAGCTGTTGCTCTCAATGCTGGTTAACCAATCATAAGGTTTATGGAAGCCTAAAAGTATTTGATAGCCTTACAACTGAATTCATTTTAAAAATGTTCATTTATATAAATACATGGTAACTTGAGAAACTAAAAAGAATATTGCTAACATAGTCCAGACTGGTCTCCCAGCCTGTAGGATAAAACCGCTACAAATGATCCAGAATGCAGCGGCGCATCTGGTCCTCAATCAGCCCAAAAAGCCTCACGTCACCCCTCTTTTCATTGCGCTTCACAGGTTACCCCTGGCTGTCTGCATAGAATTTAAGTCCCTGACGCTAGCCAACAAAGTGCTTATGGGTACGGCTCCCGTCGACTTGAACCCTTCTAGTAAAGGCTTATGTCACGTCTAGTAGTGCCAACACTACGCTTAAGACAATCCAGATGACTTCCGGTTTGGCGATGTAGAGGAGGGAAGCAGGGTGAAGGAGCTCCCGGCCAACTTTTTTTTAAATTACTTTAGAACAGGAGTTGTACATTTCTATTAAGCACCGGACCGATAGAAGCACCGTCTCTGAACCTGGCAACGTTATAATGGCCAGTGATAATACTAAACAAAAACTTTCTACTTCAACCAGGCGAACGACTAGCTTAGCTAGCAAGGTAGCTTCAATGGCCGCGGCTTCCTCCGACGGCGAACCACCTGGCGATGGTAAATGCGGAGATCCCGTTTCCATGTCCCAACTGGTCACGGAACTATCCAAGCAGCGGAACAACTTTAAAGAGGATGTGGCCACATTAATTCAAGAGTCAATTCGGCCTCTTCAAACATCGGTGGACGGGCTGCGGGACGAAGTGAATTCTTTTCAGAGCCGCCTTGTAGCTGCGGAAAGCCTGGCAGGCGACAACTTTCAACGCATATTCGAAGCTGAAGCTGCTGTTAAGTCCCTTCAATCCCAAAACGCTGCCTTGTTGGAACGCCTTGAAAACCTGGAAAATCGATCTCGCAGGTTAAATCTACGCATACTTAATATACCTGAAGGCAGTGAAGACGGACAGGATCCAACTAAGTTCATTTCCAAGTTGCTAAAGGATGCTATGGGGGACGACATATTCCCTTCTCCCCCGGAATTGGAGCGAGCACACCGCGCAGCCGGACCCAAGCCCGTAGCAGGACGACCACCACGGCCCTTCATCCTTGCATTTCACCGATACCGGGAGAAGGAAGCCGCTTTGAGATGGTCCAGGCAGCATGAAGTAAAGCACCAGGGAACCACCCTGAGGATATATCCAGATCTCAGCATCGCTCTTGCAAAGAAAAGATCGGCATTCAACGGCGTCAAAGGAGCTCTTTACCAGAAGGGTGTGTCATTTCGTCTTCTTTTCCCTGCCCGTCTTAAAGTTACGTTTAAGGGAGAAAGCCACTTATTTGAAACGCCGGAGGAGGCCCAGGCGTTTTACGACCGCTGCGTTGCAAAATAAACAAACATTTGTCGGAGTGAGACGGGATACCCACGTTACAGCAGGGTCTGGTAACAAATTACTGCGTTATGTGTTACACCTGCGTGTTCTGCATTGAAGGACTGGATAAAAAAAAAAAAAAAAAAAAAATAGAGGAGGAAAAAAGAGAGAAAAAAATATAATATATATTAATGCTGCTTTAAAGGAGAAGTTCGGTTTTTTACACTTTAAGCCCATTTTCTGTAGTGTCCAGGATGAAATCGAATGATCGACACCAAAAGTTTGACAATTGCTCCTGTCTCTGCTTTTTGGCTCATTTAGAATCACCCCCTGGCTGCTTTAGAATGGCTAGCATAGAGCATGTCCGATAATGTCCTTAAAACAACCTTAAACGTTCTTTTTTTAAAAATATGCTACTCACCGGGTCGTCAGCGCTGTTCAATGACGTTCCAAAAAAAGTTTTGTGAAGAAAAAACGTTCCTGTAGTGTTTTATTTAGCATTTTGTAAATCCCATTGAGTTCTGTAGGAATAGTCAATATCCCGCTGCCACCGGAAACGGAAATGGGGCCGGTTTACACAGTTGTAGTCTTTTCGCTTCACTCTGTGTACTCCGACGTCGAGAATCAAGAATCCACCTTTCGTATTCCATTTTCAGAGTTTTTTAAAGTGTTTAACAGAGACGTTAGCACCTCGACGTCGGAGTACACAGAGTGAAGCGAATAGACTACAACTGTGTAAACAGGCCCTATTTCCGTTTCCGGTGGCAGCGGAATATTGACTATTCCTACAGAACTCAATGGGATTTACAAAATGCTAAATAAA